TCGCTTCTTCAAATGGCGTCAATATTTCTATTTAATCATTTAACATTGCATGCTCATATGAATTAAGCTGCTGTCACTCTAAAAGCTTTAGCTTTTCAACTGGTGCTCACAACGATGAGCGAATGCTCTTTATTTCACTGTTCCACCTTGTTGCAACCTTAGCCTGTAAGCACCTCTCACCTTCCAGGATTTCACTGGCAGTAATTGATTTTCGAACATATGAAACAATGTTGGCTGCCTTAGCAAGTACTTTGTTGATTGCTGTGGCATTTTAAAGCAATCTTTAACTACCAGTTGGATGGTCTGTGCGAAGCAGGAATCATGTTGTGGGAGGAGATTCATACATTCACTTAAATTAGCTACTTCAATCTCATTCGCATGATCATCCTCATTGCTATCACTGTCGATATCCTCTAAAAGCTCTGCTGAAGCACTTTCATCAAAACCTGGCTGGCAGTCTAAAAGCTTTCAACATATTAGACGCATTATCAGTAATTATGTTAGAAACCTTCTCTGGTGATGTTGTCTGCTGTAAGACGACCAAAAACCTTGGCAACCAAGAAGCACCAACGTCTTCAATGAAGTGACAGGTTATGCCCAGATACCCCTTCTTTTGGTGATTAGACCAAAGATCCAGAGTGATAGAAACCCTGTCAACTTTTGCAAGGAGTTTTTTAAGACCATCATTGATCGTTTCCCACTTCTCTGTGAGTGGCTAAGTTGTCAAATGCTTCTGGGAAGGAAGCTGGTATCGATGATCTAAGGTACTAACGAATTGTTTGAAAGCCTGGCTTTCAACAATTGACAAAGAAAGCATGTCCTTAGCTATAAGATAGATAAGCATATCGGTCATCTTTTTTTGACTAGGATCACTTGGTTTGTATTTATCATCATGTATATAAGATGTGATGGTGACTTGCTCAGGACTAGTTACAGTTGATGGCTTTGATAAAACCGTGGGATGTTTTCCTCTGATGAAGATAGTGATATTTAAAATTACTTAAGTTACAGATAGGCTTACTTTTAGGTGTGTTGTAAAATTTGAATTTGTCTTTGTTGATCCAGATATCAAGGAACCACAGTGCTTGCGTTTTGCTTTGTAGTTGCTTCCTTCAATTAAAGATGGGGTTTCAAAATGACTAAGTATCCTTGACTCCATGATAACACTCACCAACGACCAAAAAGGACAACTTTCTACTCACTTCTATAATATAAAATTGCTGTGACTGCATGTGGTGCTAGGAAAGCCTTGCCTACTAGGGCAGTCTACTAGTCTGGTACAAATTCCAGGCAATGTCAATGTAATGAAGTACAATGTATACAATGGTACTATAGCAAATTAGTAATGTACATGTATGTAGGTGTACCATATGTAGCCTATTGACAGTAGATAAGGCTTTCATGTTACAGCTGGAGTATGGTTTGTTATGTTAGGATGATTAGACTCTGACACATGCATGTAATAGTTATGTAATATTAAGATTACATATTACTTTGACATTATTATTACTATTACTATTACTATTACTTCCTGTTGCCAAAGACTCTACTACTATTACTATTACTATTACGATTACTTGGTAGCCTGTAGTCGTTACTATTACAATTACTGTTACGTAATATGTATAGTATTGTAGACAGGTCTGTATTCGTTTTAGCAGACCCGAGGCCGAGGTTGAGGGTGTTACTGGTTGGATAGCAGCCCGAAGCGAAGCCGAGGGCTGCTATCCAACCAGCAACACCTGAAACCTAGGCCAAGCGTCTGCTAAAACAAATACAGACCTGTCTACCATACTATGTAAAATATATTGTATGTATATAATGCCATTTTAAGGAATTAACTAGTTAATAACCATATTGAGCATGTGCATACCCGTATTAAGCACATTTCATGCAATGGCTGACAAGGAAGGGGCGAAGCAGTGAAGCTGTCGAGATCGTTTTCTCCTCGTCCTCTTTACTGAACAGTGGTGGTCTGCTTTACTGTGGACGGGAAAGGAGGAGGATAGTTGAGAGAGAAAGAATTAGGCAGCCGAGGAGGTTGAGAAGACCGTTAGGTTGGAAACTGAAGAGAGTGAGCAAAGAGGAGTGGAAAAGACCTTAATCTAGAAGGGATGCTTTCCAAGCAACTTCCCATAGCCCACTCAGTGCTTCGAGTAGTGTTTTCGGGAACAAAGCCCTTCCTAGCTTCAATTACAACACTTTTCTCAACTTTTCTGAGGCGACCGTTCATCGTTGGTCTTTAAAATTAGGAAACCTTCTTATCTTCTCAGAGGATGACAACGATGCACCTAAAATTACTTCTCTTGATTAATTCTGTTTGGCGTAGCCCCCTGGTCGTCCTATAATTGATTTCACCCATGTGCGATATATATATATATATTTGATTGTATGTCAACACTTACATTTCTTCTATACACGTTGTATTTGGAGAAATAACAAGCATTAGCAACCACCCGCCCACGCTACGTAAGTGGGTGTGGTCATGCCAAACAAAATGGCGGTTTACACATGGAACAAAGTTATGAGCTTTCTAACAGCGAAAGAACATAGAGATACTGTCTAAAGACTTTTCTAGAAGCATTAGAAGGTAGAGAGAACCTTCATAAGTCTTAATAAGAACCCAGCTGTACATGCAAGGTGGTGAAATCAATTATAGGAATATTTTTACACTGTTACGCTTGTATTTTATTGAATTAAATTTTATTTTTACGATTGTTTACTTAGTGACAGGTCCAATATCTGCAGATATCAGACCTGTGGTTAAAGAGGTCAGGATATCCTAGGTATAGACCTCATGGCTCCTTTGAGTGATGTCATATATATATATATATATATATATATATATATACAATATATATTACTATTACCCCAGGCCTGGTTTATAGAGAATCATTCCTTGCCCATGCAAATTAAGACATTGAAAACACAAGTTGATTTTAGGCATGACATCAGACCCTTATTATAGTCTTGCAAGATGAATCTAACATCAAGTCATGAAATAGGGCTAAATTGTTATACTTCTTACAATTCTTATATTTGAATGTTGAGACTGCACATCCGTGTACTGAGAGTGCACTAGCATAGTACAGTGAAACTTGTCTAAAGTGACCACCTATGTGCCAGAAAAAATTGATCTTAATAGAGAGGTGGTTTTTGGATAGGGTAACCTGTCTAGACCGTGGCTTTTTTTATGTGTTTCGGTTCTTATAGGCAGGTCAACTTATCAATTCTGCACACATGCACACTGAATAATAGCATAATCACAATATTAATATTTTATTTTGCTAAAACAATCAACAACTCTGTTATATACTGTATACAGTGTTTGAAATTAACTTTTTCTGTTTATAGCCCAGGGACAAGTTGTTTATATTCTTTACTCGTCCACCCATTATTATTAACATATAATACATGTAATTGTTGATTAATTTTATTCAAACAAAATTATACACGTTTTTTAATCAAAATCTTTTGAAAAATCATCTTCAGAGTAACTTGAGTCTATAATTGAAGGTTCTTGATTTTCAGTTGACTCAGAGAGAGTTGAGTCAAATGATGATAATGGAGTACTCTTATCTTTAGGCTTTCGTTTGAAGTCTGGACGTCTTGTTCTGGTGGTATCTTTCCACCATATCTCAATTGCAGGAATGGGGTCAAACTCTTCAATCGATGGACCATTGATGCTTATCCTCATGAGGTCCTCTGTTGTTCTTTCTACAAGACGGGTACACTGATCTGACTTGATTCGATTTAGGCAGGAAAATCCCCTCTCACAAACAGCAGTGCTCATTGGTAAAACAAGCAGAATATTAACAACCTTTAACAGATTGT